GCCTAGCTTCTGACTTTAGCTAGGGGCATGTGGGGGAAAGGTGGGGCTGGCTGAGTGTGCACCGAGTAGCCACTTAGTGGCTGACCTCCAGGCATTATTCATCTGCCCCCAACCCAAGCAGAAGATGACACCCAGGGCCTTCGCCCTGAGCTGTATCCTGAGTGCTCGTTTAATTTTTTGGTTTTGTTTTGAGATAATGTCTCAGTAAGAACTCATGCCTGCCAGGTGTGCTGGGGTGACAGGCATTTGCTGCTGCCCCCAGCATTCGTTTGGGACAGACTACCGGCGTGCACCATACCTGGCTTCCCTGTGTTATCTTCTATAGTCCTCAGGACAGACCACCGAGATGGGTATCTTACTGGTTTTTATTTTATAGGTGCAGAAACTGAAGCTCAGCGTGGATACCAGGCTCACCAGGGTCTCCCAGCTAGCAGGAGGCCTGGGCTGGCTTTCAGGCCAGGGTGTTCTGACCTCAGACAGAGCCTCTCTCGGTGGGGCTGCTTCCCTGTTTCCCATCATCTTCTCTTAGCCAGAACAGACAGCGCTGTGGCTGGTTCTTGGCGGATTTTGCCAAGTGTCCATGACCGCCAGCTTCTGAGCCGTCACTAGCTCACCTGGCAGCCTCAGCCCCGTTGGAGCCTTCACTGAATCTGCGTTTCGTTCCCTTTTTCCCCCCATAAATTGCATTGTGTTTACTCAGTATATTGGCAGCAGAAACCAAAAAGGAAATGCAGAAAAAGCATCTAAGGGTTTTCATAACATAAACCAAATGTTGGTGGCGTGGGTGAGCTCTTCGGAGGAAAGGCGCTATCTGAATCTGACAAATAAATCAATAACCGCTTTAAATAAATCAGTACTGCAGAGTCTTGCTTTGGGGGCTGGGAAGACAGCTCAGCAGAATAAGCACTTGCCTGGCAAACTTAAGGGCCTGAGTTCAATCCCCGGTTCCACAAAAAAAAAAAAGGCCTGCTTTGGGAGCCTGTCTCCCTTGCTCCCCACACAGGGAGTTCATGGGACGCGAGCTCTGTCTGCTGTGGCGGGGTCAGGGTGGGGGAGAGGAGGCTGGAGGAGCCGAGCCCGTGCCCCCAGGAATGACTGTCACCTTCCTCAGGTGCTGTTGGAAGTAGACAGCATGTTCTTAGATGCCTCAGAGGGACCTGCCGAGAGGCGAAGGGGGTGCCGGAGAAGGTCACCACAGAATATGTTTTGAGGGCAAGAGCGATTACGGCAGCCAGCTCTGAATCTCTTTTCCAAACATGTTCGCTTTACCACCTGCAATACTCAAAACTTAACCATTGCCGGCCAATCCCAGCCCTACAGTTGGTCTGCTTCAGCTGTCCTCTGTGTGTGCCCCGGAGGGCAGCTTGCTGGCGGGTCCCCATGCACAGGTCCCGCTTGCCTGAGGATGCCATCCCCGACTGACTAGCGTTTCCTTCTGGAAGGCGAGAAGGTGAGCGCTGTGCGGAAGTGGGGCCGGGGGCTGCCAGCTGCAGAGGCTCTGGTTACCCAGGGAGCTGGAGCCCTCAGAGGGCCTGTCTGTGGAGGTCACCTTCAGAGGTGGTAAGACAGTGGCAGAGGGAAAGGGGAGAGAGGGGAAGTCAGGGCCCTTGTCACTGTTCCTCCCTAATGGCACAAGGCTTGGGGGCACTGAGAAAGTAAGTCTAAATCCCGGGAAGGGCCTTGAGTTTCTTTTCGGGAAGGCTTCCCCTTTCAGGATTGCAGCAGGCTGCCAACGCCTGTATTCTAAATGTCAAGCCTAAACCTGAGTTGCAAATTTGCACTTTTTCAGAGACCCTGGAAGGGTTTCCTTAAATAACAGCAACCTTGCAATTCAAGTTCCTGATGATGCAGTTGTGCGGAAGTGCACCAGCACCTCCATAAAAGGCTCTCAGCCTACTCAGGCGGGCTTGGGTGGTCCGTGTCAAGGACCTGGCTGGACAGATTCCGATGTCTTCGGTGTATGTGACATTGTTCCAGGTTCATGTGTAAAATGCTGTCACAATGCTGCTTGCGTGGAATTGGTACAGACTCGCACAGGAAAATGTCATGTGGTGCCGCACCCTGGTCGGAACAGCATTTTATCTGCACCCAGATCTCTGCAGTTGAAGATTTTTAATCTTGATGTTCTAGAAATCTGTTGGCCACCTGTTGCCACAGATTGATTCAAATCTAAGTCAAATTATTTGATTAAAGCTATTAATAGGGTTCACACTAAAAGTCAGGTTATGGTTAAAAGATTATATTAATTTTTTTTAACTCATCGAGGGGCTGGAGGTGGAGCTCAGTGGTAGAACCTATGCTCAGTATGAGCCCTTCCCTGGGTCCCATCTCTACCACCAGAAATAAAAAATAAAATTCAGCCAGGCTTGGTGGCACACGCTTGTGATCCCAGCTGAGAGGCTGAAGCAGGAGGCTCACGAGTTCAAGCCCAGCCTGAGAAGCAACTTAACAAGACCCCATCTCAGGAAAAAATAGAAAAAACAGTGCTGGGGGTGTAGCTTAATGCAGAGGCCCAGGGTTCAAGCCTTAGTTCTACAAAACCACCCTGGAGTTGCCTATTGGAGTTTTCTTTTCCCTTGAACCCTGGTTGCTACTTTCTTTTCTTTTTTTTTTTTTTTTTTTCAAAATTTTATTGATAAACAGATAGCAATGAGACAGTTTCAAATCAAATCGGAAGTACAGTTTCAACTAATAATACACTGCATATATTCTTCTCAGTGGTTAATTGTGGTTGCTACTTTCTACCCCAAGAAAATCACAGATGCTTTCTTTCATACCCATAGGTTAGTGCCTTAGGCATGGATGTCCACTGAGTCGCTGACCCCTTATCTCCCCACCTGGCCTCCAGAGGTTGTCTTCTAGTCTGTCAAAGATTAGGTCTGTGGCAAAAGCCAATTTTTATGGACATCATGGTGTTCCACCATTCTGGAAGTGTGGGACGGATAACATATCCCAGTGTCACAGAGTGGGGCCACTGGCATCTCGGGCTTTCCCTTCTACACTGCCCTCTGACAGGGAAGGGCAACTGGCGCACATCTGGATTTCTCTGACAGCTAAAGGGTGTTAAGGATGATCGCTGACCAATAAATACTGATTTTCTTGTTTAAAAAGTAATGCATATTAATATGCACCATAAATAATCCAAAAAAGGGAAAGTCTCAGTCACACCTACCCCAAAGATAAGTCATGTTAACGTTTACCTGTAAATTTTCCATCATTTTGGGAACCCGCCCATTAGCTCAGTTGTTTAAGTGCCTGCTTAAAAATGCAGTGAGGCTCAATTTCCACGGGTTCGAATCCAGATACTCCAGCCAAACCAGAAATGCCCTGAGGGCATGTTCAGGCCTGTAAATAAATAAATAAATAAATAAATAAATAAATAAATAAATAACATTTTCCATCATTTTGTATGACTACCATATTTTTTATTTATTTATTTATTATTCTTTTAAAGCTCTGATGCTGTTTAGCAACCTATTTCCATAGCCAGGCATGGTGGCGCACACCTGTAATTCCAGCACTTGGGAGGCTGAGGCAGGAGGATTGCTGTGAGTTCAAGGCCAGTCTGGATTACACTGAGAGACCCTTTCTCATTCCAGAACCTTTTATATTTGCATTATTACCTTATATTTGATGGTTTCTGTAGTCTTAAGTGGTGACATCACAGCATATAACCAGTTGCTTTGTAAGATACTCATGTTGGTGGCCACCTTTGTAGCAGTGTCTAAGGACTGATGGTTCAAGTGCTATCTCTGCACCAGGCACAGAATTGCTAGCTGCCTGGTCATCCTCGAAAAATTCTCTTTTTATTTTGTACTTTTTAAATCACTGCTAAAGTTAAGGCTGTGTCAACATTGCTGTTAAGAGATTTTTCCCCAGCTTTACTTTTGGTTTTGTTTTTTCTTATTACAGATTTTTTTTTTCCTGGTTTGATGTTTCTCTTTTGGTTTTGGTTCTGGTTCTGTTGTTATTTTGTCCTATGGAAATTCAAACAGTGAGGCATATCTGTGTCTTATCGCAGTAGTTTCTGCTGCTGGTATGATGCTAAGAGAAATTTTTCCTCACCCCCAAATTATTTAAGTTCTCAAACATACTTACTTTTCTATTATGGTTTCACTTTTTACATCGAAGTCTTTAATCTATGGGAAACAAATTTTGGAACAGACTGAGCAGTATTTGACTTTCTGTTCTGTTCTTTTGATCTGCCAATCAACATTTCATACTTGCATTACTGTTTTAGATATTGTAGGCTTCTAACGTGTGTCAATACCTAGTAGATCATTACTTCTTTTCAAAAACTATTCCTCTTTTAAATAAAGCTTAGAATCATTTTGTCAAGTTGATTGGAAAGGCATTGCTTCTACAGAATAGTTTTCAGTAAATCAGTAGCTTCAAAGCTCTACATATTTTGTCTCTCAGAAAACAATGTCAGGGGCCGGGGAGATGGCTCAGTAGAATAAACAGTTGCCTGGCACACACAAGGGCCTGAGTTCAATCCCTGGTTCCGCCAAAAAAAAAAAAAAAAGAAAAAGAAAAGAAAACAATGTCAGGATGTTCTTATGGTCTTCCTAGGACATTTTAAAGGTTTTGATTGGTATTGGTAAGATTTTTTAAGAATGTATTTTCTGACTGGTTAATTTGTACTCTCAATTTTCATTCTGTCTACAGGTGAGAAAATGAATAAAAAAATGTATTATGTTAGTGTTAATTGCAAATGTGGTCCCAAATCTACATAGACTGTGTGTTAAATAAATAAGAAAAGTCTTATTGTGTATCATAGGATTTTTTTTGTTTATCTCTGGGTCGGTATTTTGTTTGTTTGTTTTGCAAGGGGGTAGCCTCTTTTCAACTGAAGAGATACACAACGTGCAATATAATTTGGGTACAGGGTGAAATGTCATGAAATAAACATTCCTAAATACTTTGCAAATAAATACATAAATCTGAATTTCTAGGCCTAATGTGCCATCTTGTCTTAAAAAATTGCTCTCTTCTTACAGATTTCAGAGACAGCTGTCTGAACCCTGCCACCCTTTCCCCCCTCAGTCAGGGGTGCCAGGGGATAACCGGCCCAGTTACCACCGGCAAATGTCGGAACCGCTCGTCGCTGCTGCCCCCCCACCCCCTCAGGGATTCAAACAAGAATACCATGACCCGCTGTATGAACATGGGGTCTCAGGCATGCCGGGTCCCGCAGGGCATGGATTCCAGTCACCAATGGGAATCAAGCAGGAGCCCCGAGATTACTGCGTTGATTCAGGTGAGCATAAACCATACCATTCATTTCTTCACTGTCATATTTATCCTCATTGTCTTGAATCTGCGAGGCTTTGGGGCACAATTTTGTAAAAATTGCTGTCAAGGGCTGGGAGTACAGGCCGGTGGTGAGTGCAAGGCCCTGGGTCTGAGCCCTAGCATTACAACAACAGCAGAAGGAACTGCCCTGAAAGAACTCAGCAACAGTGCAGCAGACACACTCATGCATAATTGAACACGGTAGAACAGACACCAGTCTGGAACGGCGCCCTTTGTTAAGATGTGTGAGCCTTACGTTCGCTGGACACAGGGAACACTTTCTGTCCGTTAGTCCTAGCCTGCTTTTGTGGTTTTGCGTTTGAATACAGCACACCCATTCATCTCCCAGCCTGACCACAAGAGAGTCCGTGTGCAGGACAGGGTTCTTTTTGTTCTTGAAGTGAGTGGAGTTCAAAGAGAGCACTTGGGGTTTCATAGGTATGTGGGGCGCTGGGTACAGTGAAAGAACACTCTCGCTGGTTGCAGAATTCACTGCTGTGTTACGATGGTCGCAGCAGGGAAGGTCCTTGGGTCCCCCAGCAGCTAAGGCAGGGGAGGGGAGGCAGTGGAGTGGCCCAGCTTACAAGGCCCCCTGTTGTGTGGCCCCAAACTTCATACCAACAGGTTGAACCTGCCTGATGTCTCTCCCCTGTAACTCATTCACTGCAACGTGTGTACGTATCTTGTGGGCCAAGTGTGTTAAACGTGACCATTTGGGGAAAGGAGAATTAGAATTTTGCAGCTTGCACATTTAGGAGCTGTTTCTTCGTCTTTATTTCTCCTTTTATTTCCAGAACCAGCTAGACTTTCTTCACTCTTTTCTTGGAATTAGTGCTGAAGCAACTTAAGGGTAGTTGATAAATGCTTACGCTTTCCCTAGTTTCTTTTTCTGAGGACCCCAGGGGAAGGCTGGGATGATACGAATTTGAGTGACCTTCTGCAGATGACATGGGGACGTAGGACAGATAGCACATGGATTGCTCACCTGAGGCAGAAACGCTATGTGAAGGGCCAGGCAGAGAGACAGGACAAGGCTTCTGCCGCATTATGACCGAAAAATGAGTCGGGTAGGAGTCTCTTGTAAAACGGCCCACTGGCATTTTTTTTGAAGGCTTTGAGGCATTTTTCTTGGAAGTAGCCAATGGTCAGCAACGTTTTTCCCTTCAGGGCTGACCGTTCAGCCTGTCCCAGCTGGTTCACCTGTGCAAACTGCCACTCCCAGCAAGATGCTCAACAGATGTTACCATATATGGAATTCTTGCCTCCCCCCATACTGGGAATGAGCGCAGGGTCCTTGTCCTGGGCTATGTATATCCCCATTCCTGTTGTTGCGGTTGCTTGAGACACTCTTGTTAAATCCCCGGGGTAGATTTGAACTTGTGGTCCTCCTGCCTCAGCCTCCCGGAGGGCTGGATTATATAGGTGTATGCCACTTGCCCAGCTTGTCATTCTTTGACCTGAGTTTTGCTTTTGTTTTTTTTTGGTGGAACCGGGGGTTGAACTCAGGCCCTTAGTGCTTATTCCACTGAGCCATCTCCCTGCCCCCATGACCTGAGTTTGGTACCTGGGTGATCTCAGCCCCAGTTCACTCTCTTCCCAGGAGCATGTTGATACCAAAAGGCCTGAAGAAGAGATCACCTGAATCTAGTTTGGTTTCCAGATCATAAAGCCGCCATGGTGAAAATGTGTTTGACAGACTGCATTCCCCTGCCAGTTCTTGGTCAGACCTTGTAACGTCAGATAGGCTAATCTCTCTGAGGCAAAAATGCCTCACGCCTTGTAGCAGAATTGGTTGTGACCTGCTGGGCATCCTAGCAAGGGCAGGTGTGTTTGTGTGTGCGTGTGCGTGCACACACGCAAGCCTGAGGTGGGAGTGTAGTTGTGAGTTTGAGGCCAGCCTGGGTACCAAGCGAGTTCAAGGGCAGCCTGAACTACACAGCGAGACTCTGTCCAAAAGAGAGACAGAACTGGCTGTGGCCGTCTGCAGTGAAGTGAAGGAAACTGAGAAAGATCTAAAGCAATCCTCCATCTCTACCCTAGAGCCTAGGAGACCAAGCTGGGCCTTCCAAAAGCCAGTTGCTTTTTATACCATTAGCCCTCTTGCCAGATTTGGCATTAGTTAATGTCCACAGTTAGTGCCTTTTTTTTTTTTTTTTTTTTTTTTTGCGGTACCAGGGAATTTAACTCAGGACCCTGTGCTTGCCAGGCAGGCGCTTATTTTACTGAGCTATCTCCCTGGCCCCAAGTTAGTGACTTTTGAGGGAGAAGCCGCATCTGTTCCTTCCCATGGCTTTTAGAGGTGTCTCGCTTTCAGATGGTAGACTGTGCTCCCAGTAATGGCTGGGTGGGGCAGTGCCTCTCTCCCACACCAGGCCCATGGGCTTGGCCCTGGAGCCGGAGAAGTTATGGGGTGGGTGTTACTGAGCCGATGCTGTGCTGCTTCTGCCCAAACCTGACAGAAGGGTGTATGTCTGTGTTTCTCTTTCAGAAGTGCCTAACTGCCAGTCATCCTACATGAGAGGGGGATATTTCTCCAGCAGCCATGAAGGTGAGGAGCTCGCTTTAAAAAAATGACAATAAATAAACATTTAAGTTAGGTGTGTTGGCCCATTGCCGTAATCCCAGCACACAAGAGGCTGAGGCAGGAGGATCACTGCCTGAACTGCATAGCAGGACCCTGTCCCAAAACAAGCAAACAAACAAACAAACAAAAACATTCAAGTATAAAGTTGCTATTTCCTGCCTGAAAATTGAGATCATCGATTAAACAAACTCTCCTTAGCTGGTGATGAGAGCTAATTGGTCATAGTCAATAATTCACTTGCTCACAGGAATTGAGATGCGTTCCTAAAGACTGTGAAGGTGCCATCATTTTTACAGCAGGAAGAAAAAGGGAACATACTTGGGCTCCACATTTCCAGACAGATCGGACTAAAATGGAATTTAGGAGTTGTGTCAGTGAGGACGGTCACAGGAGTGCGAGGACATCTTAGGAAAGATTTTTCAAAAGTGTTTCTAGGTTCTGCTTGGTGTGGGTGAGCGACCCTTCCTGGTAACTTCTCGATGATGAGCAGTTGCCACAGTTCCCAAAGGAAGGAGGTGTGAGGTGTGCTGCTCTGGCCTTGAGAGGTGAGAAGCGCTGTTGGCAGGGAAGTGGGTGTGAAGGGGGTGCTGGGACCGCACGGCGCTGTGATGTGCAGAGCACTGTGGGGTCACCAAAGCGGTGTTCCAACCTGACTGAGGTTATAGGTGAAAGAGGAAAACAGACACAAAGCAATTGGCCCGCAAGCCTGACTCCTCCTCTATCCTGACATTTCTGGGTGCATCTCAGAGATGGTTGCAGGTTGAGGCTGTGCTGTCTGTTCCGATCCTCAGGGCCAGTCCCTTTGGGATCAGCTAATTCTGCGAGGCTCTGAGATAATCTCATTGTAATTAGGAGCGAGTGCAGTGGGCAGGGCTGAGCCTGTGACTTGGTCTTCATTAGCGCAGACCTAATTGGGGCCAGAGTCATTAGAGCGAATTAAGATGCATAGATGTTCGGTGGTTTCCAGGCTCAAGAAGTGCTCAGAGTGGAGCTAGAATCTCAGGAGTTCATAGGAGGAACTTGCTTTTGAGCCGTGGTTTTTTGGGGTTTTTTTTTCTTTTTGTTTGTTGTTTTTTTTTTTTTCTTTTTGCGGAACCAGGGATTGAACTCAGGCCCTTGCGCCTGCCAAGGAAGCACTTATTCCACTGAGCCATCTCCCCGGCCCCTGGGCCGCGTTTTTTTAAAATAATAAATCTTCGTAGCTTGCCAAGAACAATAAATGTTAGATACATGAATCTCAGGAAACAAACTACACTGGGAGGCTGAGGGAGAAGAATCGCCCTTAGTTCTAGGCCAGCCTGGACTGTAAAGCAAGACACTGTCCCCAAGCAACCAAAACGAAACCAAAAAATACAACAGGAAAAAAGATGCAATTAAATCTTACTGCCTAGAGATAATCATTCATCTGTCATGTGGCCTTCTATTTTCTGTGTGCAAGTCACACGCAGGGCTCGCTATTTTATAGTCTGTTCTTCACAGTGATCACAGAGGCCTCTGTTCACACTAAGTGCTTAGTATGTTTCAAAGCCTGTTCTAAGCTCTTAAGTCATACAATACTCATGGAAGTCCTATAACATATTTCTCTTAGTTCCACAAGTTTAAAAATTGCTTTTTTGGGGGGTGGAGGGGGAATCAGGGATTGAACTTGGGCCCTTGCGCTTGCCAGGCAAGCGCTTAGTCTGCTGAGCCATCTTCCTGTCCCCTAAGATTGCTCTTGATGACACTCTGTAATTCCAGCAATCTGGAGGCGGAGGCAGGAAGATCACTGAGTTTGAGGGGAGCCTGGACAGTGAATTTAAATTCAATTTAATTTTATTTTGAAGAGTTAAAAACAGAAGCAAAAACAAATAGAAAAAAAAAAAGAAATAGGGTAACACAACAGTATGTAACAATGGTTGTTATGTTATCTATTTTTATCGTCAAAGCTGTTGTTCAGATTAACAGATACAGTTATGCAAGATTGGACAAATAGCAAACAGTGAATTTAAGACCAACCTAAGACTATGAAACGAGATTTTTTTTTTTTTTTGAAAAGACAGTGTGATAGCTCAGTGGACTAACTGCCTGCTTAGGCAAGCATAGGAACTCTGGTTTGACCCCGGCACCCCATGCTGTGCTGCCTTTCCCTTGGGCACACTGAACCATCCACCAAATCTAGGCGTGGTGGTACACACCTGTAATCCCAGCGCTGAGGAAATTGAAAACAGGAGGATCACTGCAAGTCCGAGTTGCACAGTGAGACCCTGAACCACATACATGAAAACAGTGAGTTTGCTCTAGGTCTCTGAGCCAAGTGTCACATTATTCATCTCCCTTCACGCCATAACTCTGAGCCAAGCGAGCATAGTTGCTGTTGCATCCAGCATTCCTGTGATTCCTCCTCAGCGGCTGCACAGAGCTTACCACACGGATTCTGCATGTGCATTTAGCTGATCACTTCTTGCTGAAACTGTGGCTGTTTCCAGATTATTCACAAAATAATCTGAAGTGGATATTCATGTCACTAAATCTTTTTACATACCCTCCTCCCTTAGACCTTGAAACTTGTGGGTTACAAGGATGAGACATTCCCAAGGCACCTGCTGCCAGGTTTGGTGCCCGCCCCAGGCCCATTTTGTTGTTTGTTTTTAGGGCATCATCATAGATTGGGAACATTTGAGATTCTTGAGCACAGTAATTTGGTAGGAATCCAGAGGAGGAAGGGGGTGCTTTTGTCAGGTGGAGCATAATGAAGCTGTCGAGGCTGCATGGAGCCTTTGCTGAATAGTTCCTGCATGAATGGGTGACAGGCAAATCAGTTGGCTCATTGGGCAGAAAGAAGGCCGGTTGCTTGGGGACTGAGACGAAGTCTGTGGGGCATGAAAGGCTTTGAGAGGTAGGCTGGAGACTGAGGCTCCACTCATGGGACGGTCGTGGCCAGAAAGACCTCCCTTCCAGTAACAAGCAGGAAAGGCTTGGGGGTTTTGCTTGTTTTCTTAGGAGAGGTTCCCCAGAAGCATATCTTGTTTTCTGTCAAGTATTATATATCCAGAGTGGTGTGGTTCCTCAAACCAAGTGCTGCAGGAGTTGCTGGCGTCTCTTCAAGTTTGATACCTGCAGAGTTGTGATTCTCAGTTTTGGCCGAACAGTATGTGGGCAGACAGGGTGTGGGTGTGGGGGGGGGGTGTTAAAATGCTTTGATCCATTTTCTACCCAGAGCAATTAAATTAGAAAATCAAGGGTGGGCTCCAGTGTATTCTAAGCTCGGGAACCACTAATCCCAAGCATTTTAGATGGTGGCCCAAAGATCAGTACCCGTAAGACACTGGCTGGGTGTTAGGAGAGAGTGAGAAGTTCCCATGGGTAGCTGCTTCCCATGGACAACCAACGGGACACCAAGTGCTTCCCGGGTGCTCTGTGACACCTGAGCAGGTGTATACTCTTGGAGAGGAAGGGCTGCAAAAGGGGCCGCTGGCCGTGACGGGCACGGCTGTGTGGTGCCGCTCTCCAGGTTCCCGAATGTTTCTACAGAAGCAATTGATGTTTGCTGCAGGCAGCCAGGAGGAAATTGGGCAAAAGAGGGAGGAAAACACTTCGCATAATTACAACTCTTGGGAAGAGTATGCCCTTAAAGAAAATATTTTTAGTAAGGCATTGGGTTGATTACTATACAGACTATCTGGTGAGTGGATATATCCCTCCCTTCACCTGACCCCCCCCTCCCCCCCCACACACACACATGCATCGGAGAAGTTATTCCCAAAAGACCAGCATTTTTAATTGTTGTAAATTACCCTGACATGGGTTTCCTAGCCTTTTCTTACAGGACTGACCTCATGTGCCCACACAGCAGTTAGTGAAACAAGTGTTTCTGATTGGCATCGGTGACGGCAGAGATAGCCACGCACTCACCTGGAATCCCTGTGCAGCGTCTTGAGTCTTTCACCCCCATTTTGCCCCACACTTAGGTTCTTCCTTCCTGCCACCTTGATCTGAGTGATTAAATGGTTGTGGCCACAACTGAAATAACTGCAGGTTCAGCTGATTTACATTTCCCTTAAACCAGTAGCAAGCATCTCCCAGATGTTTTAGAGGATCACGTGTGACCATGGCTGGAAACCGCAGAGTGTAGGAAAACAGCACGCCTCGTAGGCCTGGAGCTGATGAGTTTTTGAAAACCGAACCAAGAATTTAATCTAGATTTATAGGGTGTGTGTGTGTGTGTTTATATAATATCCAACAGTCATATGATATTATGAATAAATGTGCGTCATATTAACCTTAGAGGAAGAAAAGGTCTAAAAGTAGCGCAACAGGCTTGGCGGTATATACATTTTGAAGTAGTTCACCTACAAAGATGATAACGAACCATTTCAACATCCCATCCCTGGAGTGTCAAAACATATATGGGGGTGCGGGGATGTGTAGCAGCTCAATAGCAAGGTTAACAGGATGCTGCGTAAAGGATTTTGTCTTGCTAGTGAAGCGAAAATTTATCAGGAGTCACTCAGTGTCTTAGAAATGTTTCCTTTAATCTTTTTTTTTTTTAAACGGGAGACTGCAGATCTCTCATTTCTTCAAGTATTTATTAAATACTTCTCATGTAGAAGGTGCTGTCGGACCGCAAGATACTCAAGATGTGGTTCTTATCTCTAAAGAATTTGGCCCCCGTGACAAAAGATGGAAGCCAGTGCGCTCGCGCTAGCCAGTTAATTTCTTCATACAGCTTCTCACAGTGTGCAGTGGCTGTGCGTTTTTTTTTTTTTGTTTTGTTTTTTTTTAACTATCATTTATTACACATTTACATTCTAACAGCTATCCTTGGCGCTCTGGAGTAAAGATAGTGATAGATGGAACAGATTGTATATTAACTCATTAAATTCTCATAACATCCCTGTAGGGCAGGAATTACTCTTTCCCAGCCCTCCTTGATGAGGACTCGATTCATTTATTCAGGATCACACAGCTAACCAGTTCCACCAGTCTGGCCCCGGCTTTCATTTGCACACCACTCTGTGGCTCCCCCTTTCTTTCTCTCCTTGTTTTCTTTCTGCCCTGGTTGACATGTGTTTAACCAAGAGTGTATTCTCCTCACCGATCAGCCCACTGTAGCATAATGCCTACCTAAATATTTAGTGGATTCAACAATAAATAAATACCAATGAAATAAACTCCATTTGATGAAGTTATGCAACAAAGCAATAATGCCTGGAGCTAAGGAAACAGAAATGAATAATGCAAACCTCAAAACAGTCTCTTTTTCCCTTTAAGTCGGGCTGGATTTTTCTAGACCTGGGCCTCTTTAGATGGTGCTGGTCTGGGCCAGTTGGGAAGAAGCAGAATGTAGTGGAATCAGGTTTATGACTGCTTTATCCATTGATTATTCAAGTCAGAGCAAATCTCTCTCGGGCCTCTAAGGAAGGCTCTTCATGCAGGAGCCCTTTCTCCCGCTGTCATACCCCATATGCAGGGCACACTCACCTGTACTGCACGGCTGGGGCAAGCAGTGTGAACACTGCCCAGAGAGGCATCGTTTCTCTGATGGGAACGCCTGTGGAGTGTGTTGGCGGAGAAAGGCCTCTAAGGCAGGGCGAAGGATCCCCCTCAAGAGGTCCTGCACGTGCTTTTAATTGTACTGTTTTTTTGTTGTTTGAGATAGGGTCTCGCTGTGTAGATCAGGCTGTCCTTGAATTCACGGTGCAGCCCAGGCTGGCCTCAAACTCACTGCAGTCCTCCTGCCTTGGCCTCCCAAGTGCTGGGGTCATAGGCCTGTGCCATCACGGCTGGGTGTCAGCCAATCCTGTCAAGGTGCCAGGTGACATGGTTGGCGCTAAGTTTATAGGAAGGGTCCTTGGGCACAGCAGGCAAGGTGTGCTCCTTGACCATTTAGTCCTGTATCTTTCTTTGGTTTTCTGTCTATGCCTCTAAGCCAGTCACTTCTCCCTTAGAGACCTGTGAGTTTTGAGTCTATGCGGTGTTTCTGCTTTATTGCTAGGTCTCCCAGGTTCCTTCCACTGTGCCTGGTGATTTTGCTTCCAGTTGCTCCAAAACACATGCATTGCATCCTGCTCTCCCCCACGCGCTCTAGGAGGCAACATTCTTTACCTAAACTCGAAGCTTCCCTGATTAGATGAAGTATGTAGGTAGCTTGGACCAGTTTGTAGGGAAGATTGAAGTTAATATTTGCTAAAAGGAAATGGCAAGACTACATTTGGGCCAAATAAACCCATCCAGCTGGACAAACCAAAGTGATCTGAGGGCTTGGTCACAGCACCTGACCCATGCAGACCTCATGAGCAAGACATGAAGGGACCTGCCGGTGACTCAGCACTTCCCCGTGCCTTAGCTCTGGTGGCAGGACTCAGTGCTACTGGGGCTGAGGCTCAGCTGATCGCGTCAGAACTCTGGTGCCTGTGTCCTTTTAGCAGTGCCTCAGACTTAGCCCGGCGTGGACTCAGCAGCGGTGTGCAGGACCTGCAGTGACAGAATCTCACTGCAGTCCTTGGATTCACAGTTTTAGTGCAACGTGGAGAATCTGTTCAGCTATATTGAACATAGTCTTTCTCTTTAAACTCCTGCAGGTTTTTCATATGAAAAAGATCCCCGGTTATACTTCGATGACACTTGCGTTGTGCCTGAGCGACTGGAAGGTAAATAGCCCATCCAAGGTGTGATGCTAGGAGGTGGGTAGAGATAGCCGGAGATGTCCTGCTCCCTCAGACTATAAACCAACAGAAATGGCTCCCTTCTGACCAGACTGCCTGGGTAAACCCAGGCCGAAGTGTAGCCCTTGTATCTTTGTCCCTAACAGGCAAAATCAAGCAGGAGCCGACCATGTATCGAGAAGGGCCCCCTTACCAGAGGCGAGGCTCACTGCAGCTGTGGCAGTTCCTGGTCACCCTGCTTGATGACCCAGCCAATGCCCACTTCATTGCCTGGACTGGCCGAGGCATGGAATTCAAGCTGATAGAACCTGAGGAGGTAAGCGCTATGCACCGGGTGTGGGCAACTGGGTCTGTGGGGTTGATGGCCACATTTGTTTAGATCTCCATGGAGGCTTTTTCTTGTATTAAATATGCTCACCGCCTACTCTTGCTGAAGTGTAGAGAAGGCTTGACTCTCTTCTTCCTGTTACTTGCATGGATAGGTAGGTCCCACCAGGGTACAATACATAAAGTAGTTTGTAGGACACCCCCCCCAAAAAAAAAAAAAATTCTGGGTAGAGAAATCATGAAGGGCTAAATCCCAATAGGATATGTTCTTCATCTTGGAAAGTTTCTCAAGTGTTTGAATCACACAGACTTGATTTGGTCTCAGACCTTGTATGTCAGATTCCATATCTAAAGCTATGTGAATTTAAGAGTGCGAGATTTCAACAATGGAACAAACACCCTATGTGTTTCAAATGGCTCTAACCAAAAAATTATCAGATGAGTCTACCTTAGAACTTTGGCTTTTTTATATTACTGTCCTTCACCCAGAACCTTAAGACTGAGCTATATCTTCAGCCCTGTTTTGATTTTGAGATGGGGTTTCACGAAGTTGCCTAGGCTAGACTTGAATTTACAGTCTTCCTGCCTTAGCCTTCCAGAGTGCTGGGATTATAGGCGTGCATCACCACACCCAGATGGAACTTTGATTTTTTTTTTTAAGTGTGTTATGTAGCATCACCCCATTTCTTTGCTTTTTTGTTTTTTGGGGGTGTTTTTCCCATTACTTTGTTAATAGAAAAAAAGAAACGTGACTGCTATCTTCTGTCCAGAACTGCTGACAGACTGAGGAGAGAACCTGTGCGCATTTCTTCAATGGCAAAAGCATAGAGTAGAACCCCTGAATCTCACTAAATATCATGTAATAAAGTCAATTACATCAGGGTGTCAGCATAACCTATTCCAAAGGGTGGGGTTGATTTTAATTCTGGTTTGGTTTAGAACCTAAAGAAATTACAGATGTAAAAGAAGTGCCCGCCTCTCACCTGCTCTGTTGCTCTCGGTCTTGTGTCATTAGGTGTATGAGTTAAGTCCACAGAGCAAAAGGGTTGGGTCAGAATGAAAGAGAAACGAGGCTTGGAAAGCCTTTGAGCAAGGGCTGCAGTTTCTGATGCTCATGGACTCCAAGGCCCGCTGAGTACACCGGCAAGATGGTTTGTGTGCAGCAGGAGACAGTACCCTGGCGCTTGGTTTGGAGGAAGGAAGGGGCCTAGAAGTTGAAATGGTTTTGAAAACGGAGTGAGGGTGTACTTTTGGAATCTAATCCTTATCAGTGGGAGAAAACAGCAGGCTTCGTTAAAGACAGTTATAAAAGACACGTGTAGCCACTGGATTCATTGGTGACCATGGCTGGGTGTCAACAGGCAGCTTGCAGTTAGGCTCAGTCCACTTGCACAGCCAGATTCTGCTGTGTGTTCTGGAGAGTTCTTCCTGGCCAAGTCCTGTGGAAACAGATGTGCCTCTGGCTTCCAGCCCTCCTGGAGACCCCCGCCCCACCACAGGCCTGTCCTTCCCCTGCTGCTTGCCTGTAATGTGGCCTAGCTGGTGTGAAGCACCAGGACTCCCAGCTCACCTTGCGCAGGCTTTCGGAAAGTCGGTCTGTTGTGTGGGCAGCCCTTATTGATTTATCTTGTTTCACAAACAGGAGCTTTTATTACTTTATTGCCTCTGCCTGAGGCCTGAGCACAGGCTGTCCAGCTGCAGGTAAACCTGGTTATGACCCTTTGTGAAGCTGTTATTGAATCTTCCGCTCTCCTACCAGTGGTAAAGAAAATGTGAACAGATGGCAGAGGGCCCTTGCTTTCTTAATAAAGAAAGTAATATTAATCCAGAATGTTCATAAATGCCAGCCCCCTGAGTCACATGTGTGAGTGGCCCGTGGTGGCCTTGAGCCTCTCTCTGTTGAGTGGGCAGCTGTATTCTTCGGGAATTGTTCCTTCCACTTCACCTTGAAGCCCCCACCATTCCACCAGCAGCAGATGCCCTGCTCTCACCCAGGCCCGACTGAGTTCCCAGTGTGCACTTCGGCCGTGGCACTGGCAGCATTTGCTGGCTTTCCCCCTCTGCTCCTCTGTTCTTTTTAATGCTAGGAAGATACCAAGTCCTGGAAAAAGCTGTAAGAAGTCGTCATGGGGGAGCTTGAAGGGTGAAGTGGAGGAGGAAGCTGTTGGGGACGTAATTGTAGGCAGCTGTGTGGCTGAGTAGTGCACTCTGGGTAATTATCCGTAATATCCATTACACTGTGCATGGAAATTGTGGTTTTAGAACTGCGTTTTGGCAGGCCCCCTAATCAAATGTCTTTTGATAGTCATCCAGCTTAGCACCCTCTCAATTATGACTGACTCGGCTTTAATCTGGAGCCATTTTAACTGTGAATCTGCATTAATGAATATTTTGGGGGGTAGGGTTGTTTGTTGAACATGTGGCAGATAAGTGATGCCACGGGAGGTTTTAAACGATGGCTGCTAGGAAGAACAGCTCCCTGTGCCCTAGCCTGCTCTCTCCTGGAAGCGGAGGAGGAGCGAGGTGAATTTTTCCTTTAACTCTTTCGACCTCAGTTGTCAGGATGCTCCCTAGGTAACAAGTGGAGGCGTGAAAGAAGACCGAGCTGGTAGCTAGCCACTGCCTGCTCCCCATGCAACAAGAGAGCCAGCCCTCATCTCCAGCTGCTCTGGAGCTTTGCCACATCATGCATTGCTATAGAAGGGCTACTGAATCACAGGGCCCTGTCCCAGGAGGATGAGTCAGTAACTATGGCTACCAGCGCTGCTTTGAAATCCGTGCATTACACAGAAAACCTCTCCCCAGTGAGCTGTTGCATATGTAAGCGACAGCAGAGGGAGGTCAGCTCTGGAGCTGAAGAATATCCAGAATTGTTTCCCAAACAGAGGGAAGTGGTAAGGCCAGGCTTCCTGGAAATTGCCCTGAGTCACTGCTGCAGACAGCAGGTCCAGGTGAGTTTCAGGGAGCCATGGCTGTGAGTAGAATAGGAGTCACACTGGTTGCAGATTTCCCTTCCTACTGCCCTTGTCTTTGGTTGCAAGTGTTCTCTCTAACCAGGCCGTCATTTTTCATTAATTTTGCCTCATGGGCTGTTGAGGAGGTGGAGTTGGATGGGTACAGTGAGAACAAGCCTCAGAGCAGTTGTGTGCCAGGAAGGCAGAAGCACTGGAATGAATGGAAGCCACTTTCCTAGGGTTTCATGCACGGCCAAGTAGAATCCTGGCTATCAGATTTTTCTAACATAATTAGGACAGATGTGTTCTTCCTTCCCAGATCATTTCTGGTGTTCATCAAAAGTCATTTCAGAATTCTAAATTGAAGAGATGCTGCTTTCATTCTGCCCAAAGTCCTTATGTGCAGTGTGATTTCTGCCCTACTTTCCTACTTCACAGTCAACATTTGGCTTTTAAAATCTCTTAAGTAGGGCCGGAGAGATGGCTCAGTAGAGTAAGTACTTGCCTGGCAAGTACAAGGGCCTGAGTTCAATCGCCGGTTACACACACACACACACACACACACACACAGTCTCTAAAGTATCAATTATTGGTTAGTTGAATTCCCAAAACTGACTGAAAATGTTAAAAGTGTGACAGCCACTTTCCACACATTTAAAGATCTCTGAGGAAACTAATACTTCAGGGCTCATCTCCTGCCATGACAGTCCTCTGCATGAGACGCGCGGATTTGGGAAGTGGGAACACAAAAGAACAGAACTTGCGTGGCCCTGGTGACCGGGTAGGCTCGACCTGGAAGCTCGCCTTTTCTAAGGCCTCTTTGCCCAGAGCTCCAATTACATCTCCTCGCCACGGCACCGCAGGTGGACTGGGCTGGGTATAATGCACTTCAGAACTGTTCGGGAGGCCCTGTTAATTTTTCATTAAGTGGATAATGGTGCTACGTGCTTTAATGTCCATTCTACAAGTCTGCTGGGAGCAGCGGATTGGACAGCAGCAGGCCGAAATGAGCCGATTCCCCCTTAGTTCGTGAGCTGCAATAAGTAAACATCTCGCAGCCCCTCTCCAATCTTATTAGAATTGAACTTTGGCTCTGCCGGCCCATTAGCAACTCACTAGTGTGTTTCTAATGTTTCAGGAATGACCATTCTAATTATTCCTTATTGACTGCTACAGAAACCATAGCACTTAATGGCAACATGTTAATGGTCTGCAAGTATTGGTCAATAATTCATACGTCGAGAAACAGTAGAGAGCCTGCATCCTCTGGGATGTTAGCCAAGCCCTCTGCAGTCTTAAAGGCCTACGAATCTCCCACCTCGCTGTCTTACTCCTAGCAGCTAAGTCATCACCATTGTTCAGTGTTTCTGCTGAGGGGATTAAATGATTTTCCAGGTCAGAGAAATGGATCGTTGGCCAAGGCAGGCATGTCACAGAGCTGGCACTCCTGGGGCCAGGAGAAGTCTGTGGTCCCAGAGAACGTGTTTCCATGGCTCTTTGTTTTCCTGGTCCCTTAGGTTGCGCGGCGCTGGGGCATCCAGAAGAACCGGCCGGCCATGAACTACGACAAGCTGAGCCGTTCTCTACGCTATTACTACGAAAAGGGCATTATGCAGAAGGTAAGCAGCTTCCGGGGCACTTGGACCCCTCTGTTCACCTTCAGAGGAGATGCCCAGGGCTTCTGCAGCAGCACCAGGTACAGCGGCCAAGATAAGGCGTCAGCTTCGTACATGATTCTGTGGTAGGACAGAGTGTTGAATCAAACGAGATGTCAAGAGCACCAGCAATGCCATCAGGTCCGCGCAAGCCACAAGGTGCTTATGAAAGACACCGTGGGAGGTCTGGTCTCCTCTGCTGTACTTAAACTTCTCCATCTTCCAAAAATGTCCAGAAACAGGCCAACCATTTTATCTCCATAAAGAAAAACAGGAGGAAATCCACCAAAATTTACTCCCTTGAGAGCTTGATGAAGCCTTTGGATTTTAAAACACCTTAACCTCCAACTTGAACTGTGTTGACTTGATACTCTCAAAAGTGTTAGAGGAGGGAGAAAAATCTTCCTTTTTAACCCCTTAGAAACTGGACTCAGGTTAAAACCCCAAGGTTGTAAGATGGCAGCTCAGTTGCCCAGTAGCAGGGTGCTCTTTTTCGATTGTGGGTTTTCTTATTTGTTTTATCCAGGAGTTGAACCCAGGGCCTTGTGCTTTCCAGACAAGTGCTGTACCACTGAGCTACTACTGCCTCGCTGGCCTGCAGGTTGCTCTTTGCAGAACAGGATAAAGCATATTTTGAGCAAGCCAAGCGCTCAGGATCCTTATTGAAATTAGATGATAAAGGACCCTAATCTTAAAAACTCATGGATAAGGGCTGGTGAGATGGCTCAGTGGTCTAAAGCACCTACTTAGAATAAGCTAAGCTAAGCAAAGCACAGGGACCGCGGTTCAATCCCCCAGCACCACATGCCAGCCAGCCCCGCCCCCTGGTGGGCTGAACTGGCCACACACACACACACAAATAAGTAAATAAAAATTAAAAAAAAAAAAAAAAAAAACCTACATTGAGGGGCCCTCCCCTTAGCTCAGTTCTTTAAGTGGCTGCTTCAACACAGCAGTCAGGCTCAGGTGGCTGTGGTTCAATCCCCACAACTCAAGCCAGCCAAACCTCCCCCAAAGGCATTCGGAGAAAAAAAAAAAAAAACCCACATTGGGGAAGACATTGGTCCACCTTGGCTGTTTCCCAGCTTCAGAACCAAACCAACCTGAGGGAATGTAAGAGACAGTAATTTGGAACAGATGCAGATGAGTTTGTCCAAGACTGGCTTCTGAGTATCTGAAGGAAGCAGAAGAGAAATGTGTTTCTGAGAGTGAGACAGGCAAGGACTATATGAAGACCTGCAGTGAGGGTGGGTTGAGACTCCGGTGTTTGGAGAAAAGTCCTATAAGACCCTGGGTCCTCTGTTTGCAGTAAAATACAAGATATAATAAGCCTGGCTGTAATCACACAGGGCAGTATATTTTTTAGTGTTCTCCCCGTTCCAATGTAAAGGGTTATTGTTTTTATTTACTACATGATCTGAGAGTAGTAAAAACTAAAATGATAAATGATAACTTTCTACATGGAAAGAATGGGCCCATAGCCTCAGTTTTTAAAGGGGAAAATTTGAGGGCTATACGGTTCAGACTTGTGGTCTATTCACCCGGGCTTGGAGGCCACATTGCCTTTGGCTTCTAGGTGAGTTTTACTCTTTAATTTCTTCCTGCCTCGTTCTTCCCCACAACTTGGGGACTTGAGGATTGGAGTTTAAGGTAAAACGAGGCTTGTAAAACCAAGTGGGGCTGATTGACTGTGTCCCACTGCTTGCCTCAGATGTGCCTTGTGGCAGCTGTGAGTCGTTGCCTATGCTCAGGCCTGATTCCTGGTGTTTGAGTTCCAAGGAAACCAAACTCAGTGTTGGTACAGACACTGTGTTCTGGTGACAGTGACCTAGACGCTTCACCCTAGACCTGTTGGGACAGCCATGCTGCCGCTGTAGCAACAGATTTCTTAAAACCAAGATTTGGAAGCAAAGCTATGCATAATGAATTTTAAAAGAGATTTTAAAATCACTGCAAAAGGATGAGGAAACAGAATGAAACTCAATAATTCAAATTTTTTAGTCTAAAAATGTTTATCAGCATTGTCACTGCCAAGGGCGAGTCAAATAGCCCAGCGGATTAAAGCACCTGCAAGCAGGCACATGGGGCCAGGGATTTGATCCCCAGGCTTGCCATGCTGGCCCTCACCCCCTGGGCATGCTGAGAAGGCAATTGAGACTGGGCGTGGTGGCGCGCCCCTGTAATCCCAGCTCTTGGGAGGCTGTAAACAGGTGGATCACTATGAGTCCAATCTAGTAATGAGACCCTGAACACCCTGTAGATCCTTCCCTAAAATCCAAAAAAAAAAAAAGTATTGTTACTGCCTCTCCCTGCCCTTCTGCATTATCTGACTGAAGCTGCTAATCAGCTTTGATTTTCAGGGTTCTGCACCCTTCTGCACTCTTGCTGGCAGAGAGTGGGCAAAGCCCATCAACCTAGAAGGCTGGTCTGCTCCATGATGAGGCCCTTGAATTACCAGGAGTCCTGGTTCTAGTAGTGCACATGCTTCAAGTCCGCATGAAGGGAGTTAGTGGGTCCTTCCCTGTGGCGGAACCACACAACATATAGTTTAAAACTGCAGGTAGAGGGGCCAGGGAGATGGCTCAGTGGAATAAGTACTTCCCTGGCAAGTGCAAGGTCCTGAGTTCAGTCCCCAGTTCCACAAAAAAATAAATAAATAAAACTGCAGATAGATCCAAAGGCATATCTCCTTCAAATTGGCATATACTTAAAATTTCTACACAAGCTCCTTGATCAACTTCCTAACCCTGCAAAAACCACAGGGGGAAAAAAAACCTGCAAAATAACAAATCTACCCCAAGAAAACGTAGACTGTGGAGATGGTTACAGATGTGGTCTAGGGGCCAGTGAGGTAGCACAGCAGAACAAAACAAGCACCTGCCTCACAAGCCCAAGGTTCTGAGTTCAATTCCTCTACCAAAAAAAACCCCCAAAACCCAACAGAATCTGGTCTTGTGCATTGTACCAGCTCAGGCCTCAGCCCAGGATACCCCAGGCCCCACCCTCGGCAGAGCTGTGCTTCCTGCGCTGTCAGTACAAGACAGGAATTGAACATTTGCTTCTGAAAGAGCCTCTCTGGTATGAATTTGAAATTCAAATACCATCTCTTTCAACTGCTGAGCTGTGGTGTCAACAAGATTCTTGGCAGGTAATAGTTGCCCACAATTTCTCAAATACAAATGATTTGGAAAATCAGCTACTAATGAGCTCCTTCAATTTTGGATCCCTGAGAGGCTGCTGACTTAAAAACACCTCACCTTCTCTCCTTGCCTGCCGGCCGCCCTGTCCCGGCTGGGCCTTACGAGGGTGCTTCTCTTGCAGGTGGCTGGGGAGCGATACGTCTACAAGTTTGTCTGCGACCCGGATGCCCTGTTCTCCATGGCCTTCCCGGACAATCAGCGCCCACTCCTGAAGGCAGAGTCCGAGTGTCCCCTGAGCGAGGAAGACACCCTGCCCCTGACCCACTTTGACGACAGCCCTGCTTATCTGCTCGATGTGGACCGCTGCGGCAGCCTCCCCTATGCCGAAGGCTTTGCTTACTAAGTTCTTGAGTGGCTGAGCGGCCAAACCCTAGAGCTAGTGGCTCCCATTCAGCAAACGAGGGCAGTGGTTTTGTGTTCTTGGCTGTTCCTAAAGCTTGCCCTTTGAGTATTGAGCCGGCTGGACACCCTTACACACAGATACCTTGGCAGGGAGTGGGAACAGGGAGGGGCGGAAGGCCACCCAGAGTGGCGGAGGTTCTGACAAGGCGTCTGGGAGAGATGGGAACGGAGCCTCCTCACCACCATGGACCATATATGCCAAGCAATACCTTGCTCAAGTCTGTACCCGCAAAACGGGCCAAGGGTGAGACTGTCTGCATTGATCACGGACAACTACACGTCTTTACACAGAAGGGCTCTGCTTTGCACAGTTTATTGATAAAAGAAGTCACAAGCCCGTAACAAAGAGGTAGGCTTCATCAGGGAGGTCCAGGACAGATCATTAAGGCTTAAAAATAAATCTTGATTTGCAGAGCGCTTCCGGCTTGCTGTGGACACTCCCCCAGGAAAGGGACACTCGGGACAGCTGTTACTCTGGGGTTCTCAAATCTTAAACCATTGCTTCTGTTGGGAATCTTCCGGCCATGTGGTCACCAAATAGAGCAAGCCCCCTCTCTTCCTAGTCACATGGTGAAGGTGGTTGGCTTTCATTTTAGAAGGGCAATGAACACTTTTGACAGTATTTTGTTTTGCTTTGATTCGGGGTGGGGGGGTTATTGTTTTGTGTTGGTGGTTGTTTTGGAAAAACAGTTTATAAACTGATTTTTGTAGTTTTGGTATTTAAAGCAAAAAAAACAAAAACAAACCTTTTGGTAACTGTGCACTGTGTCCCTTAGGCAGGGCCGTGCCAACTTCCTATGACGCCGCAGCTGGAGAGGGGCTTTGCCGGGGCTTGCCCTCGGCCATGTGAGAGCCCGCTTCGTTGCCTGCCTCGTGCCCTCTGCACCGGGAAAACCGACAGAACGTTTGCACCTGAGTTGTATATTTTTGAAGTGTGCAAGGCAGCCTGGACACAGCTTAGATCCAGTGTGTATAGTGCGCCATGTTCACTAACGTGCCCCCGGGGACGCAGATGTACATACTACATGTGTCCACTCAGGACCTGGCCACTTGGTGGGAGTCCCAGGGCTGCTTCCTTGGGCATGACTGATGGCAACTGCCATTTCATCAGTTCCTTTTACTTACCTTTTTCTTTAAATCTTGGACATCAAGCCCTGCATAACAATTCCGTAGGGTTTGAGACTCACACGTGTCATTGACAGGTAAGACAGTGCTAGCATTCTGGTTTCCTGCCATTTGTTTTTCATAAAAGTATCTTCTGATTGCTGTATTATATTGGTGAAGTTTAAAACATCCAAGCTAACTGTTAGTGTGCAAGTTGAGCTCACAGTAGTGGAAAAGTCTAGAAAGCCGTGGCACCTTTCTGCCTGTCCTTGTAGATGAGGGCTCCAGGTGCCCTGCATGTGCTTGCGGCATAATGACCATGCTGTTCTCGAGTGAGAGAAGCAGTGATGACTCCACGCGTGTGGGACACGTGCTGTGACGTGCTGTGCTGTACCAGTGTTCCCTGGTTGCCCACACGACCAGTTGTGAAGAAGTTCACAAGGACAGAGGCTATGTCTCAAGAGCTTTGAAATCGGATTTTCCTCTACTGGAAGCTAATTAGCCCTCCAAAGTGTCAAGCCTGTTGCTTGGGTCCTAATTAGCATTGTATTCTAATCAAAGGACTCTTTGTAAACCATATTTATAGCTTTCTAATCTACACATAGTCTATACATAGATGCATATTTTACCCCCTAGCTGGCTAGAGATTTATTTGTTGTAAATGCTGTATAGATTTTTTTCCCTTTCTTATACTGGTTTGAGGTGTGGTTTTATTTTCTTTTTTTATGAATTTATGCTGGTTTAGAAGTATGAAAATAATGATGTATTCTGAACTGCTCCCTCCCCTGCTATAGCTACGAGGCCTGTGCTCGTAGGACGTAGGCTGGAGGCATCCCCATTGCATTCCCACTGGACTCATGTACCTCCCAGATGGTTTTTGTTTCTTTCAAGAGTTTCTGGGGGTTGGTTCATTTGCTTCTTTTTTCCAGAGTGTGGAAAATCCACAGTGCAGAAAGGCTTTAACCTGCTGGTTGATTTTAAATCCTTCCCCCTGCGCAGGGCTGTTTGCGTCTTGCCAAGCTGCGTTATATTCTGTACTGTGTACAATAAAGAAGTTTGCTTTTCGTTTACCAAGCGCCTGAAGCCAGCCTCTTTCTTGCCTTCAGTGGTGTAATTTTCAAGCTAGGAAAAGCGGCGTGGCCTTCCTTCCAACCCTTACCTCCGCTGGTTAGCTTTAACCAGTGCATGGTGGTAGATTAGGAAACTTCACCTGCAGAGAAAAACACAACTCCAAAACTCTGGCTGAAAATTGAACCAGAAGGGTAGGAGGCAGGTAGGTGGATCTTCTGCAGCCCGCGGTGAGCTGAGACCGCCATCCCGGGGGCCCCTCTAGCCACTGGCTGACTTGGTAACTGGTTTTGGAAAACCTTTTGTGTTTGGACCTCACACTGTATTGAGTGTGTGAGTCCCAGAGTTATTCCAGCTCAAGCCCTTAGGTGGATACTTTCGAAAGTCAGCAAAACCTTTAAAGACCGGTTTTCTAATTTTTCTCCTGATAGCCATTGCTTTTGATGAGTAAAATTTTTACTATCGGTCCACTACACAAGAAAAACAGTTCACACTCTGCTAGCCGCGCAACCGCAGTATCTTTCCCCAGAGCCCACATCTTGCCTGCCTGTGGCGAGGTCACTTCGTAAAGCTGTGGAGGGAGATGGAGCTGGCAGGGCTGCGTCCAGCAGTGTGCCGTTCAGTGTTCTTTCACCCTTTTCCTGCATCCTTAATGTGTGCTTTTCAAGACTCCTGTTACAGCAGAGAAGTAAAGTAGAGGCTTTTTTCAAGCCTAGCACAGAGGCTTTCTGTCACTTTATCCACTCTCTGTCTTTCACCATTTTACAAGCCTTTAAGTGTAGAAACATCTGAGACTGAATCAGTGCACAGCTGCTTGAATGGGAACTTGTGGGGAATGAATGAATGTCACCTAAGCCCCATTAGGTTCCATAGATTAAGGCAAGATGCTTGGGGAGAAGGTGGGGGTGCCGGACAAAGGAGCTCTCCTCAGCTTCCCTCCGATAAGCGGTGACAGTCAGCTCCCAATTCTTCACGGGCTCATTATCCAGCCTGGGCCCAGACTCAAGATCGTTAACCTCATGTGGGGGTCACCAAACACTGCTGCCCTTCTCCCATTGGGCGTTAAGATGAGGAAGCCAGAAGATGTGAAGTTTATTCTACACTGGGGTCCCCTTTCACAGGCCAAGCTAGAACAACAATGCTTATTCAGTTGCTGGATGACAAAGAGGTAGTGTGAGGGCGAAAGAACACAGTTTTGAAAGCCCGGCTCTGTGCAGAATCTAAATTCTGATGCAGCTGGGACAAAAGGAAACTCATGTAGAAGAAAAACACCCATGCACCCTGACCGTTGGGAACCTAGAGGAGCCGGTAGGATGCCCAGGGGGGCAGGTGGTAGGGCACAGTGTGTGGCCCCTATAACTGTCAGCACACTGGGAAAAGCCTAGAAAATGATCTATTTTCATGCAAATGCAGAGGTGAGCACTGCTTCTATTTGGTGTGTGTGCTGTACTGAAATAGGTGGTGTGGTTTGGGCAGCTGTGTTCCTTGGAGCCTGGAAATCCTCCCTGATCACCTGTTCAGAAGCGGCCTTTGCATGGCCGGCCTTGTGGCTCCAGTGTGCATTCTGGCACTGCATGCAGGCCTGGATTTGTTGTTGACCTTGGCAGTGAATCTCAGAGCTAACCTTTGGATAGCACTTTACAGTTTACAGAGCACTTTCTTTTTAATCTCCATTATCTTTTTGGCAGACCTTCTTAAATGGTAACACTTTGTTGAAATTGAATCTGAAAATATTCATGCCCCTCAGTCTCCAGCATTACTTCTTCGGAATGTTTTCAGGGGCTACTGTGGAAATAAGACCAGACTCTCGGGGCTGGAGGGCTGGTTCTGGCCCCAGGACTCGGACAGATGGTTTTTAAACTCTCGGTCTTGGTGTAGTGTAGGTCAGTGGGGGCACCAGAGCCCAGCACATTCAGCAGCTAAGAACAAGGAATGACTTGAGTAGCTTCAGAGCTGGCTGCCACCAGGCAGGACATTGTTCATTGTGTAAGCATCCACTGAGTACCTACTAAGTGCCAGGCACTGTTGGAGGCTGGAAAGAAAGGCTATAAATGTCACTTTCAAACTAAAGGGCTGGGCTGGGGAGATAGATGGCTCAGTGGAATAAGTGCTTCCCTGGCAAGCGCAAGGGCCTGAGTTCAATCCTCCATCCCACCAAAAAAAAAAAAAAAAAAACTAAAGGGCTGTTGGTGGTACCCCTTAACTGTTCAGAAGCTGTCCCCCCACCCTCTTGTATCCCTTGGTTAACCAGTGGCTGGGGCAGCTGGAGCATTTTGTCTACCAATTCTTGTCCCTATGGGTTGAAGTTTGTCCCTGAAGCTGTTAACTTCAGTGTATGTCATCCTGGGAAGAGACAAGGAGAGGTGTTGGTATGGGTTCACTCGGGGTCATGAAGCTGCCATCAGTGATGTCTGCTGCAGCTGCCTGTAAAACAACTAGCGGGGCTGTCGTGGGTGACCAGGAGTCCTGTGCTGAGGTAGGGAGTCTCCACTATCCACATAGTACTTATCAACTCCCTGTTGTGTAAGAAACTGTGACCACGCTTGAGGACTAGTCACAGTAAGGCCCCCCCACCTTCCCCTTAAGCCACTCAGGTTTGTGGGGAAGCAATTCTCAACATGAAACTAGAATAGAAGGGGTTAGTAATGCTGAGGATTAATCGTCCAAAAATCCTGCCTATCCATGCCAGGCAGTGCTCTGAGATCAGAGGGGAAAACGAAACCTCGGCTCTCAAGAACCCTCTGGGGAAGGAAGCAAAACAAATAAATAAATGATAGCATTTGTTAGAAGATGCAGAGTGCTGTGGAAAAAAAATAAAGGAAAAAGCATAGTGATGCTCCAGAGTGGAGGATTGCAATTTTATTTGTTTATTT